GACCAGTGGTTTTCCAAAAACCTGTCGGGCAAGAATACACAATCAAAGCACTCCCAACAACCTCCACCACCCTCCAAAGCAACATGTTCCACTGTTGAACAGGAATTTCTTTCTAATGTTTAGCTGAAATCTCTTTTCCTGTACCTTGAATCCATTGCTCCATGTCCTAGTCTCCACAGCAGCAGAAAACAATCTTGCCCCACTTTCAGTGTGACGTTCTTTAAAATATTTAAACATGGCTATCATGTCACCTCTTCACCTTCTCTTTTTTAGGCATGTGCTCTAGGAAGTTCAAAAAGTAAAGTAGCACAGAGTTTTACCCTTGTGTATATATTGACATGAAGACAGAGCTTATGAAAGCTGTTTTATAGTTATATCTAACAAGAGATTTTTTTTTTTAAAAAAAGAATGCATTTCTACTGAAACACTGCACAAGAGATGTATAGGCAGTCATTCCGGTGCCACCCCCTCCCAACGGCATCACTTGGTGCAGTTTGCACCCTCAGTGGACAGGCCACTGCTCTTAAGCCATATCTTCCACTTCTCTTACCATTTTAGCCAGCCTTCTCTGGACACATTTCCAGCTTGTTAAAATCCACACTGAATTCGAGAGTGTCTAGAAATGAACACATATTCCAGGTGATAGCTGACTATAAGAAGCAATATATTGTGGCATGATTACTTCCTTTTGTCTAGACACTATATTTCTATAGATGCAGCCTAGAATTGCATTGGCTATTTTAGCTGCTGCGTCACAGTGTTGACTCATATTTATTTATTTATCTATTATTCAAACTTATATGCCACTTCCCTGGGGCTCGGAGCGGCTTACAAGAACAGGCTAAAATCTAACACAATTTAAAAACAATTTAAAACAATTTAAAAACAGCAATATTAAAATGGTTGTGTTCTACTAAGGCCCCTTCCACACAGCTGAATAAAATCCCACATTATCTGCTTTGAACTGGAATATATGGCATGTGGACTCAGTTAATCCAGGACCATTCCACACATCCGTATAACCCAGAATATCAAGACACAATAACCCCAATATCTGCTTTGAACTTGGTTATCTGAGTCTACATTGCCATATATCCCAGTTCAAAACAGATAATGTGGGAGCTGTGTGGAAGGGGCACAGATATGGGATCAGTAACACCTGGCTTGAAAACAATCCATGTGAAAGAGATCTAGGAGATTTAGGTCCCTTCCACACAGCTCTATATCCCAGAATATCAAGGCAGAAAATCCCACATTATCTGAGTGTGGACTCAGATAACCCAGTTCAAAGCAGATATTGTGGGATTTTCTGCCTTGATATTCTGGGATTTAGGGCTGTGTGGAAGGGACCTAAGTCTCCTAGATCTCTTTCACATGGATTGTTTTCAAGCCAGGTGTTACTGATCCCATATCTGTGCATTTCATTTTTATTGCCAACGTGTCGTATCCTATATTTCTCCCTGTTGAAATCTGTTTTATTAGCTATGGACCAGCTCTCTAAACTGTTAAGGTCTTTTTGTAGTCTGATCCTGTCCTCTGGAATGTTAGCTGTCCCTCTCATACAAAATTTGATGTCTTGTATTTTGCTATCCAAGTCATTGTTAAATATGTTAAACAGCACTGGTCTTGGGACAGGCCCCTGTGGCACCCCACTGGTCACTTCTCTCCACGATGAAGGAGGAGGAGCCATTGGTCAGCACCCTTTGAGTTCATCCAGTCAAGTTCCAATCTACTTAACAGCAGCATTGTCCAGCCCACGTTGTCTTAACTTCTTTGTGAGAATGTCATAGGGAACCTTGTCTGAAATCGAGGTATGCTACATCCACAGCATTCCCTTCATCTACCAAGCTTGTAACTCTATCAAAAAAAGAGACAAGGCGTTTCTGGCATGACTTGTTTTTGAGAAACCCATGTTGGCTTTTTGTGAGCACTGCATTCCTTTCTATGTGCTTCCAGATTGTCTCTTTAATAATATGCTCTAGAATCTTTCCTAATATCGTTGTCAGGCTGACCGGGCAGTAGTTGTTTGGGTCTCTCCCCCCTCCAGGCTGCCTTTTTGAAAATGGAGACACATTTGTCCTTTTTCCAGTCTACTGGATCTTCTGTTCTCTAGGAATTCTCAAAGGTGTTTGCCCTGAGGTTTCTGAAATTACTTTTGCCAGGTCATTTAATGTCCTTGGATGTAGTTTGTCTGGTCCTAGCAACTTGAATTCATTTAGATTAGTCAGGTATTCCTGTACTGTACTTTGCCTATTCTATACCTATGCATTTCTTGTATTGCATCATCTGCTTAATTTTCCCCAGGTTGAGCAATGTTTTTTTTAGGAGAGGATTGAGGCAAAGGACGTGTTGAGTAGTTCTACCTTTTTCTCTCTCCCAGGTTAGGATTTCACCATCTTCTTCACACAATGACCCTACTATTTATTTATTTATTTTCTTTCACTATAGACACAAGCTCTAGTAAGTCTGTACTTATTCTGTGCTTTAGTTTTTTCAGATTTTCACCCTACACACGATGGCTATTTGTTGATGATTTCCCTGTTTTTCTATTTCTTGTACATGTCCCTTTTAAATCAGTTGGAAGTTTCTAAAGTTATCCACCCTGGCTTCGTGACACATCCCATTCTCCCTGATTACAACTATTTGAAATTGTGCATTCAGTATCTCATTTTAAGAAACTCGATTAGTATTCTTGGCCACAGAATCATAAATAAAGTTTTATTATTATTATTTCCACATTTTGTACAGTGAAATTGTCTACAGAGCAAGTGAGGGATTTGTTGTAACTGATATTCTTAGCAGAGTTTGCCTTCCAACAAATATGGGGATAGCTAAAAACTCCAAATACTGCTACAGCTCTTTTCTGAATGTTTAGTCATCTGTTCTAGGACTGCAGGTACTCAGTTTGGCTTGCGGGTCCGTAGTAGACCCCCTACAATCCCTGGTGTTTCCTCCTTAATTTTTACCCAGGCACCTGGCTTTCAGGATTTACATGATGGACCTCCTCACAGGTGTAAATATCCTTGATATACAATGTTACTCCTCCTCCTTTCTTGTTTGGTCTGTTCCATCTAATAGGTTATACCTCTTTAATACTACATTCCAGTCACAAGACTCATCCTATCAGGTTTTCAACTACTCCTGTTGTTGTTATCATTGTCATCATCATAATTTATTTACACTCTGCATGGCACTTTACAAGTAAAAGAATAACAAGATTGTTCAGATTTAAACAATGCCTTACACAAAATAGTTCAGACTTACACAATGCCTTCAAACTTACAATGACACAACAACATGTAACATGACACAAAAGGGGTGTTAGTATGGAAGCGGATTGAATCTAGCACATTAGTGTTTCTTCTGGATCAGGGCAGTAATCGTTGGACTGGAGGGAGGGCTTTAATTTGTTTCTGATTCATTCCATCAAGTTTCAGTGATGCCTATTATACTTAATTTACTGTGCTAAAAGTTCAAGTTCATCTTGTTTGTTTACAATGTGCATTCTCTGTGCATTATTTGTAAACATCAAAAACCATAGGTAATTTGCCTAGCTGATTATTTAATTTTTCTTCTTCTCACTGTTGAGTTCTTTTTCTTTTCATAACATCAAGGCTGTTATCTCCAGTCTTGAGGAACACCTGCCCTCAAAAATAGTCTTCCTCTCCCCACATAGCTTAATTTAAAGCTCTCCAGATTTCTGAGTCTTTTAGCAAAAACGTTCCTGCTAATCTCTGTGAGGTGAAACCTATCAGTTTCTAGAAATCCATCTCCATGAAACCATGGACCTTGTAATCCCTTGTGATATCCTGAAGGCTGTGCTTAGCAGTGTCATTGGTTCCCAAATGTATTGAAAAGGAGACGTAACGATCAATGGGTTGATGAGCCTTGTCCATCTCTCTGTTATGTCACAGTGTTTTGCCCCAAGGACATAGCACACATTTTGATGGGATTTCCTTCTGAATAAGCATGGACATAGTTGCAGTGCATGTCGCAGATAGTGATAGCTGATCTTTGACAAAAGGTGAGAATTGTGCATCTTTCCATGTGTTGTTGAACTGAAACTCTCAGAAGCCATAGCCAATTGCAAATCATGCAGGAAACTATAGTTCAGTAACATTTGGAGAGCTACATGATTCCCACTTCAGATCTACTAAAAGAGGGGCAAAAACTTTGCAGTAGGAATTGAGATCAGGACTTCAACTGGGCCAGTTATGTTTAGATTTTGTTGAAAGTGGGCTTTTGAGTGAAAACAAAAGGTTGCCACTCATATTTTGTGACTTTAAAGACAATAAAGAATTACACCTTTCTTTGTGTGCTGTATATATGTACCTCCTTGCTTTTCTGTATGATTGTTAGAGCCACGTTTTATTGCTGCAGGAAACACTCTGAATCTCATTCTAACTCAATGTACTTCATTATTAACCAGTGATCCCAACTTTCAGTAAATTGACTATAAGTTACACTGGCTCAAAAGTTTGATTTGGACCTGGATCGAAATCTCTCAACATGACTCATTGGATTTTAAAGTATAAGTTCTTATTTGCTTCTAAAACAGTTGGTGTATAGTGGAACTCTACATAATTATCTAAATTTTGGGACAAGTAGTGGCTTACGTTTCAAACCTGAAAATATTAGAATTGCTAGGAAGTCGTCAATATATCTGCCTCTCTTTAACAAATGCGTACGGTTTTGTTCAAGTCCCTTCATTTGCCAGTTACTTGTAGTCTGGTGATAAACATAATTATTAAATAAGCTATTTAATTCTACGAATAGGTAAAATGGTAGAAAGCTTATATTACTGACAATTGAAATGCTGCCTTCATAAATTGGTTTTTAAAATGCAGCTTACAAATCCATCTGTCCTCTATTTCTTTCCAAAATTATTGGACTTTCTGTCCATTTTTGCTTCTCTTCCTAAAACATGTTGTCAACTCACTAAGTTTCTAAAATATCACAGTAGTCCTCAAAGCATTAGTGAGATGTGGGGATGCCAATGTGTTCCAGGTGTGCCAGTACATCCCCATCCTCAGTCCCCATGCACTGCTCCCTTCTACCCTAGCCTTTAATGTAAATATCTCAGAAAGGGAATATATTTCAAGTCTACACCTTTAGCATATGATGTTTAATGTAAGTTCTAACTCCCTCTATTATTTATAGATTCGAGGAAGATGCTGCTGTCTAGACCTAGCCGGAGTGGCCTGGCCACACTACAGAGAACATGCTGGTATGGAAAAATGCCATGTACTTCCATTACATGTGTGTGTGCTGTGAGGAAAGAAAATCTCAATCACCATCAGGGAGCTTCAAAATCTCTTGTCCAGTGCGTCTTGCCAAAATTCTCTGGGTCCAAAATTGTGAAAGTAATTGTACTTACTGTACTTTCTCGGTCTACTGATGCTAGACTTTGTTCCCTCAGATGTTTTGACTTCGTCTCCCAGAATTCTGGCTGCTGGCCATATTGCCTGAGGCATCTGGGAATTGAGGTTCCCAGAGGACCCAAATTTGGGGACCACTGTTTTATAGGACTCATTGCTATATTGATAGATTGGGATTACAAGATCTTGGTTTTTGAAATCATTTTGGGAGGTGCCGTGGTTTGTAACTGAACATGTTTTAATGTTATTTAACTGGATTTTTTAAAAAATACTGTTTATGTTTAATCCTGTTTAATGTTTGCATATTTGTATATTTTAAATTGTATGCTGATGCCTTTATGTTATGCTTTGAATCTCCTGCGGGAGGAATAAAACAAGGTATAAATATAATAATAATAATAATAATAATAATAATAATAATAATAATACTCTAATTCATTTCTAGTTAAGGATAAGATGAGTTCCAATATGGTTTTAATGATATCTTATTGTTTGTGTTTTATTGCTTATTTTATTTTGAGTTGAGGTATTTTATGTTAATCTCCATATGTTGTTCATTTTTATTTCACCTGGTGTTTATTTTTATTGATTTAGGCTAATTTCTGTTGTATATTTATGTGTTTTGTTTTGCACTGTTGTTGTCTTGTAAGCTGCCCCAAGTCCCTCAGGGGAGATGGGGCGGGATATAAATAAAGTTTATTTATTTATTATTTATATACCATATTTATACCCCGCCCTTCTCAACCCTGAAGGAGATTCAAGGCGGCTTTAAACATAGGTAACTATTTGATGCCTTAAAACAATGTACAATTAAAATTAATATTTTAAGGTAGAATTAAAACACATTAAAACATATGAAAATATTACATTCACTCTTAACCATGCTATCTGCAATTGTTGTTGTTGTTGTTACTGTAAGAAGGCCACTTGTAAGATACCAAACATATTGTAAGTAAGTAAACTTTATTATGGTCCATGACCAGATCATAACAGAGGGACCCAGTTCTGAGAAACATATTAGGTTTTCTAAGGATGTGAGGTAACACAAATGACACTCTGTCAGTTCCTTTCTGGTTTGTTTAGGGAATTTTTTCCACATACTTCTGATAGAAAACCAACTATATTCAATGGAAAGTTTTTCATTGGCTACCTGTGCTAATAATGTTACAGGATCAATTTGTGAGTTGAACAGAGGTGAGCAAACATTATTAGACAACATAGCACTTTTTTCAGAGTTCCTCACAGTTTAAAACCTTCTTTATATTCCTTCTGCTTTTCCTATTCTGCCATTCCCATACATACATGCATGCCATTTCTTGCTGGAGGCATGGTTGCTAGATCCCAGTAAAGAGGAAGCAAGGAGAACTTTATCAGAGTGTTGTGTGGTTCAAAGAATCCTCCACAGATGCAGGCGAAGCATCAGGAGAAAATGCTGCTAGAATACGGCCATACATCCTGGAAACCACACAACATCCCAGTGATTCTGGCCATAAAAGCCTTCGACAACTTTATTGAACTTTCCTAAAAAGTCTCTCCAAGTATTTGTCTTGGCTCCTTGCCTAGTCTCAGGTGGACTCTAATCTTATCTCTATGTGCATCCCTTTCCCTTTAAGCGTGAATTGTGTCTGTAGGATTGTGTCTGGGAGATCCCTTTCCTTCGCTATCTGACTTCTTCTCTCTCACCTTGAGTAAGGCAAAGAATTAATGATTAATCACCAATCCTTTAAAGTGGAATTTCAGCGCCAGTGCTACCAGCACCTACAATCCCATGCTGAGAATCCAGATACAGCAAATGTGCTAACAGAGAGAAATACATTTTTTAAAAGAAGGAATTTATGTATGTAATCACATTGCCTATTTTGTATGAGTTATTCTGATTCTGGTTTTGTTTTCCTCAGAACTGGAATTGCAAATAGATGAGGGAAAGACAATGTTAAGAAATAAACGCTTTTTGCTATTTTTGAAGGGATCAAAATCATGCACAGTACTTGACACCTATTTCTGAAAATCTTAGAAGAAATTGCGAGCTTGTTTTTAGAAAACAGTGAAATCTACAAAGTTGCCTTATTTTAAAATGTTGGTTCATCTTCTTAGAAGATCTTCACAATTGTTGTGACTTGGGAATGGAGGCACATAGCCTAAATTGCCAGCCAAAATTTACCTAGGTAGCTTGTTTATGATCTTGGTTGCCTTGAATAATTAACTTTGTTTAGACAGAGGAAAGCAGCCCTTAGGGCTCTGCTGTAATTTGTAATAGCTTCTCTTTTCACTCCCACCCCATCCTGTTGTATTGCTGCAACTTGCATTTTGTGTGACACCAGTCTTTCCAAATATGACACAGTGTTTCTAAAGAACTGGGAGTCACCACCTATTGTCATTTTCCGGTCTGTTTCTTCCTGTTTCTCTCCACACCACTTCATTGATTAAATACCATTGAGTCAAACACTTTAGAAGAGGTAACCCACTGTGTTCATCACATTAGGTTGGGTTCAGGTGTAGGGTAGAGCATTCTTTGCGTATCTAAAGTGTTGAAACAGCTTTCTTTTCTTACATTTCAGGAGCTGGTACAATTTATCTGCTTATTGTATATCACAGAGTCAGAAAGGAAGCATCTGCACTATAGGTCTAAACCACTTTTTGAAAACAATTTAACTGTCTATACTTCTTATGCAGTATTGGCCATGCAGATCAATAGCTCAGCTAGAGGGCTTTTTCAAACTTCCAGAATCCCACTGTAGAATCATAGAATCATAGAATCAAAGAGTTGGAAGAGACCTCATGGGCCATCCAGTCCAACCCCCTGCCAAGAAGCAGGAATATTGCATTCAAATCACTCCTGACAAATGGCCATCCAGCCTCTGCTTAAAAGCTTCCAAAGAAGGAGCCTCCACCACACTCCGGGGCAGAGAGTTCCACTGCTGAACGGCTCTCACAGTCAGGAAGTTCTTCCTCATGTTCAGATGGAATCTCCTCTCTTGTAGTTTGAAGCCATTGTTCCGCGTCCTAGTCTCCAAGGAAGCAGAAAACAAGCTTGCTCCCTCCTCCCTGTGCTTCCTCTCACATATTTAGACATGGCTATCATATCTCCTCTCAGCCTTCTCTTCTTCAGGCTAAACATGCCCAGCTCCTTAAGCCGCTCCTCATAGGGCTTGTTCTCCAGACCCTTGATCATTTTAGTCGCCCTCCTCTGGACACATTCCAGCTTGTCAATATCTCTCTTGAATTGTGGTGCCCAGAATTGGACACAATATTCCAGATGTGGTCTAACCAAAGCAGAATAGAGGGGTACCATTACTTCCTTAGATCTAGACACTATGCTCCTATTGATGCAGGCCAAAATCCCATTGGCTTTTTTTGCCGCCACATCACATTGTTGGCTCATGTTTAACTTGTTGTCCACGAGGACTCCAAGATCTTTTTCACATGTACTGCTCTCGAGCCAGGCATCCCCATTCTGTATCTTTGCATTTCATTTTTTCTGCCAAAGTGGAGTATCTTGCTTTTGTCACTGTTGAACTTCATTTTGTTAGTTTTGGCCCATCTCTCTAATCTGTCAAGATCGTTTTGAATCCTGCTCCTGTCCTCTGGAGTATTGGCTATCCCTCCCAATTTGGTGTCGTCTGCAAACTTGATGATCCTGCCTTCTAACCCGTCATCTAAGTCATTAATAAAGATGTTGAACAGGACCGGGCCCAGGACGGAACCCTGCGGCACTCCACTTGTCACTTCTTTCCAAGATGAAGAGGAAGCATTGGTGAGCACCCTCTGTGTTCGTCCATTTAACCAATTCCAGATCCACCTCACCGTAGTTTTGCCTAGCCCACATTGGACTAGTTTCCTTGCCAGAAGGTCATGGGGGACCTTGTCGAAGGCCTTACTGAAATCCAGGTACGCTACGTCCACGGCATTCCCCGCATCTACCCAGCTTGTAGCTCTATCGAAGAAAGAGATCAGATTAGTCTGGCATGACTTGTTTTTGATAAATCCATGTTGACTATTAGCGATGACTGCATTTGTTTCTAAGTGTTTGCAGACCACTTCCTTAACAATCTTTTCCAGAATCTTGCCCGGTATCGATGTGAGGCTGACCGGACGGTAGTTGTTTGGGTCATCCTTTTTTCCCTTCTTGAAGTTTGGGACCACATTGGCCCTCCTCCAATCTGCTGGAACTTCTCCGTTCTCCAAGAACTCTCAAAGATGGTTGCCAATGGTTCCGAAATGACTTCCGCTAGTTCCTTCAATACTCTGGGGTGTAGTTGATCTGGCCCTGGGGACTTGAACTCATTAAGAGCGGCCAGGTATTCCTGGACAACTTCTTTCCCAATTTGGGGTTGGATGTCCTCCAATGCCTCATCCACTCCATCTTGCTGAGGTTGAAGACTCTCTTTTTGTGAGAAGACCGAGGCAAAGAAGGCATTAAGTAGTTCTGCCTTTTCCCTATCCCCTGTCAGCATTGCCCCATCTTCTCCGTGAAGAGGTCCCTATCGCCTCCTTGTTTTTCCTTTTTCTACTGACATAAGAAAAGAAGCCCTTTTTATTGTTTTTAATGTCCCTGGCAAGCCTGAGCTCATTTTGTGCTTTAGCCTTGCGGACCTTTTCCCTACAGGAGTGGGCTATTTGTTTGAATTCTTCTTTGGTGATTTTTCCCTTTTTCCACTTCTTGTGCATGTCTCTTTTGTGTCTTAGCACAGTTAGAAGTTCTTTGGACATCCATTCTGGCTTCTTTGCACTTGTCCTATTTTTTCTCTTTGTTGGCACGGTTTGCAACTTGCGTCTTGAGTATTTCACTCTTGAGAAATTCCCATCCATCCGTAACTCCCTTGTCTTTTAGTATCTGTGTCCACGGAATGCTGCTCAGTGTTTCCTTCAGTTTTTGGAAATCAGCTCTCCTAAAGTCCAAAATGCGGGTTTGACTTGTCTTAGTTTCGGCCTTCCTTTGTACCTCAAATTGCAGGAGCACATGGTCACTTGCCCCTAAGGATCCTACCACTTCAACCGCATCGATCAGTCCTCCGCATTTGTTAGGATGAGATCAAGAGTAGCCAACCCCCTTGTTGCCTCTTCTACCTTCTGGACCATGAAATTGTCTGCAAGGCAAGCGAGGAATTTGTTGGACTTTGTACTCTTGGCCGAGTTTGTTTCCAGCAAATATCGGGATAGTTGAAATCGCCCATGACTACTACATCTCTTCTCTGTGCCTGTTTGGTCAACTGTTGGCAGAAGACTTTCATCAAGTTCTTCCTCCTGGCTTGGGGTCTGTAGTAGACGCCTACAACGACATCTTTTTGAGTCCCAGTTCCCTTGATTCTTATCCAGATGATTTCAAGCTGGTTTCCCAGATTGCTGTCTTGAATCTCTTCTGCAGCATAAGAGTTTTTGACATATAAGGCTACTCCGCCTCCTCTCCCCTTTGTTCGGTTTCTGTGAAAGAGGTTATACCCCTCGATATCTACATTCCAGCGATAGGAGTCCTCCCACCAGGTTTCAGTGATCCCTATGATATCATATTTGTGGTGTTGTGCTAAAAGTTGGAGTTCGTCTTGTTTATTTCCCATGCTCTGTGCATTAGTGTAAAGACATGTGAGCCCCTAGGATCTTCCCTTGAGCTGTTTAATTGGGATTATTGTGCTTTTGGTACTTGGTCCTTGTTGTGTTTGTGCAGCCCTCCGTTTAGCCTTCTGGCGATTCCCAGACATTATGGGTAAAGTAGTGTTCGCAAGGCTGTTGTCCCCCTCCCCCGGTGGACCTAGTTTAAAGTGCGTCTAATGAGGTTTGCGAGTCTGTGACCAAAAAGGTGTTTTCCTACTTGTGTGAGATGCACCCCATCCCTTGCCAGTAGGCCATCCTCCTGGAAAAGCAGGCCATGGTCGAGGAAGCCAAAGCGTTCCTCCTGACACCATTTTCTAAGCCAGTCATTGACCTGTACTATTTTTCTGTCTCTTGTGGGTCCGTGTCTTACAACAGGGAGGAGGGATGAAAAGACCACCTGTACATTACATTCTTTTAGCTTTGCTCCTAGAGCTCGAAAATCATTTGTGATCTTTTGAAACGTATGCCTTGCAGTATCATTGGTTCCTACATGAATCAACATGAGGGGAGGACGGTGATAGGGCTTGAGGAGCCTGGTGAGCCTGAGTGATATGGTGTATTTTTGCCCCCGGTAGGCAGCATATTTCTCGAGCCATCCCATCTGGTCTGGAAATGACCAGTTAGGATCATTTGTGATGATAGTTAGGAGATTCTGAGTAAAGTAGTCCAAAAAAAAACCCTACAACTGCTCCCCCTAAATCTTTTTTCTCAAGTTCTGTTGCATTAGCAGAGATTCCCTTTTTGTGTGTGCCAACTGCCTTTCAGTATCCTCCTTGAGTCCATCAAATGCTGTTATTTCCTTCGACAGCTGGCTAAGATAGTTTCGTGTCTCATTCTTTCATCTTCAGAAAGCCACTGTTTATGAGTATTCCTTATTAGAAGTTGTTCGACGAGTGGGCTTATTAACAAAAGACCCTCATAAACGTACAATAGAGTAACTTATCAGCAGCACTGTTACCCAGCACCAGTAGCCAAGACTGATAAAAAGAACAAAAAACACACAGACCAATGCTATCTTTTCCTTAGGAGGCTTCTCTTTATAGCAAAACAATATGGTTGCACTATTTACAAGAACAAGGTTTCCGTAACACAAATTTCTTTATACTTCCTTCTTTGCTTCCATGCTGGGCTTCATTCTCATGTAGATAAAAAGCTTCACTCTCACAGAGCCTCTTCTAACACTAAACTTACACAGGAGCTTCACACAACAGCCTTCACGCTGGAGCTTTACACATGAGGCTTTCAACTTGGGGCTTCTCTCACCGAAGCCTTCTAACACCAGGCTTCTCTCACACTGAGACCTACTAACTGAGGCCTAGCTCACACTAAGGCCTACTAGCACTGAGGTTTATCTCACAGTGAGGCCTCTTAGACTGAGGCCTCTTCATATTGGGCAACGAACGCAGAGGTTTACTAAGCTACAGGCACACCTACTTATATTGAACTGCAGCTTTTTCTGAGTCAATGTATCCATTTAACCATTTCAGTGCTTGACTCACATTTTTGTAATTAAAAATACCTAGTTAATCTTTAATATTTCTGACAGAAGTTGGGATGGATTTTGCCATTTTTGTGAAGTGTAGCAGTATCTCCTTAAGCTGCAGCTTTTGACTTGTTTTCTTTCAGGTTGCGAGCTATGGCTCAGAGGACCTCCCCCGCAGTCCACTTCGCCTGGACCCGCTTCCACTCCCACAACACGTGGAGCAAAGCTGGTGACCCAAGACGCAGGAGGCTCATGGGAGCAGCAGTGGTGGCTGGAGCTGGGTTGGGCATAGGGACCATCTTAGCCTTTGGAGATCAACGTCAACAGGTGAGTGGGGTAACTGGGGAGAGAACTGGGATGTGACCAGACCTTATAAGAGTTGCTTTTTGGATCCCTTCTCCCAGAATTCCTGCAATCAGCATAGCAAATGGCTGGGAAGTTTGGGACACTGTACCCCCCAAAAAATAACCTTTTCAGGATGTGGATGTGACCAATAAAGAGTTGTACAAGTGATACTTGCAGTAACTGAGGAGCTAGGGGGCAGTTTTACATCTACATTTTCGTGGGTTAGTTATGTAAAATAGTGTGGGATAAGTTGGATTCAGATTTATGTGTTTACAAGTGGCTGAGTTTTCATCCCATTTTCCACACAGCAACCCCTGTATTGCCACAAATAGATGACTGTGGATCCTCCTAAAGTGCAGAGAGAAAGGGGGATCAGGCTTCGATGTCTGGAGCTGCAATGACAAAAGGCACTTCAGCCCAGATTTCAGAAATTCTGTCTTCTCTGCTTATCAAGCAGGGTTCACACTCCTCTGTGGCCTTTTTTAGAGAGCTCGAGAGGCTTGTGGGAAAAACAGGAGATGCTAGAAATTAGTGGAAGTATGCTTTCTCATTGTCTAGTTTTCCAAATCCAGACATGCTTTTTCATTGTCTAGTTTTCTGAATCCAGACAATGGACTGTTACTTTGACTTCTTTTCTACCTTCCCTCACAGGCTGCCAAGGCTGAGGCCCCAGAGTCTGCATCCGAACCCCAGTTTCCTACCTTTACTCGGCAGGAGGTTTCCCGCCACAACAATGAGGCCAGTCGGGTGTGGGTGACCTATGGCAGTGATGTTTTTGATATCACAGATTTCATAGAGCAACATCCGGGAGGAAAAAGCAAGATTCTCCTGGCAGCCGGTGGTGCTCTGGAACCTTTTTGGGCCCTCTATGCTATGCACAACCAGGAACATGTGCTGGAGATCCTCCAGGGGTTCAAAGTAGGGCAGTTGAGCCCAGAAGAGCCCCCCCAACCCACCCCGGGAGATCCTTACGCCGACGATCCTCCACGCCACCCTGCCCTTCAAACCAACACCTTAAAACCCTTCAATGCAGAGCCCCCTCCAGAGCTGATCAGTGAAAACTACTTGACTCCCAACCAGCTCTTCTTCAAACGCAACCATCTCCCTGTGCCAAAGGTGGACCCTGCTACCTACCGCTTGCATGTTAGGGGTCCCCGTGGGCGGACCCTGTCTCTGTCCCTTCAGGACTTGAAGAAGAAGTTCCCAAAGCATGAGGTGACCGCTGCCTTGCAGTGTGCTGGCAATCGTCGGGCAGAGATGAACTCTCTCAAGAATACCAACCGGCTAGGCTGGAACATTGGGGCGATCAGCAATGCCCGCTGGGGGGGTGCCCGGCTTCGGGATGTTCTGATGCAGGCTGGCTATAAGCAAGATGACAAAGGGCATGTCTGCTTTGAGGGCCTGGACAAGGATCAGAGTGGCACTGTTTATGGGGCTTCCATCCCCTTTGAGAAAGCCATGAGTCCTGAAGGGGATGTCCTGTTAGCTTATGAGATGAATGGAGAAGAGCTACCTCGGGATCACGGGTTCCCCCTCAGGGTTCTTGTGCCAGGCATAGTTGGTGCCCGTAATGTCAAATGGCTGGCCAAGATCACTGTGAGTCCAGAAGAGAGCCCAAGTCATTGGCAGCAGAAGGATTATAAAGGATTCTCTCCAGGAGTGACATGGGACACAGTGGATTTTTCCAAAGCTCCTGCCATCCAAGACATGCCTGTCCAGTCAGCCATCACTGAGCCAAGCGCACAGACTGTTATCAGGCCTGGGGAGCTCACAGTGAAAGGTTATGCCTGGAGTGGAGGTGGACGAAGGGTTATCCGTGTGGATGTTTCTCTGGATGGTGGAAAGAGCTGGCGTGAGGCTGAGCTCATTGGGGAGAAGCAGTTGCCTGGCCGAGCTTGGGCATGGCAACTCTGGCAGCTGAATGTTTCCGTGCCTGATGGCACCAGGGAGCTGAACATTGTCTGCAAGGCTGTGGACACCAGCTACAATGAGCAGCCTGACACAGTGGGGCCTATTTGGAACATTTTGGGAGTGCTCAACAATGCTTGGCATCGAGTGCATCTCCTCGTGGATGAAGACTAAGCATTTCGCTTGTGCCTTGTCACCTGGAACAAATGAAGCATCGTGGATTCTTGGCTGCTTCGTGCCTTCCTCTTTCTTCGGGGATCTCTCCCTGTAAGGAGCCTCAGAAGAAGAGCGGAGATCTTCCATGGGGTCCTGTGACCTCTCTGTGTTCTTCCTTGTTTACTGTTGGTGTAGCTTCTGAGGGCAGTGGTGGCCTTAAAAGAAGAAATAGCTTTTCCTATAGACAGGAAACCTTCCTTCCTTGGGAATATAGGACTGATAACCTGCTTTGCCAAAAACAATACCAAACAAAAACCCCTATAGGCAAAAGGGTTGGCAACTCGTGGTTCTTCAGATGTTGAATGTCACCCCCAGCTTTCCTGGTTGTTACTTGTGCTGGCCAGAGGACACAGGCTGCCCCCTCCCTACAGTAACCAGATGTACACACACTGCTGATTGGTTGTCTTTTCTTTTTAAGGCATTGTGACTTTGTCTGCATTCTGTTTTGGGCTATACAACAAAAGGCAATCAAAAACAAGCTTCCGTGACAATGAGGTGGTGACTAGGTTCTGGTTTTTAGTCCAGACTTTAAAAGAAATATACAAGGTGTAGAGCTTATTTTGGGGTAGGGTTTGACACTTTATTGAACTCCTGTAAACTGTGGGCAGAAATGTGGCATGCATTCACCCTCCCCACGGCATGGAAAACAGATGCCACTACCCAAACTTGTAGCACTTCCATTCCCAGTCCATTTTGTCTCCTTAAAAGAAGAGGAGAAGGAAAGATGGGAGGGAAGGAAGGAAGGAAGGAAGGAGGGAAAGAAGGAGAGAAAGAGGGAAGATTGGCCACAGCAACACGTGGCGGGTAAAGGTTGTTATTTCTATTATTATTATTATTATTATTATTATTATTATTATTATATGCTATTGTTCCTATGAGACCCTTTTAGGGGGAATGGGAGAGGTGTCAGGTCCCAGAGGCAATGCATTGCATTATTGTTATTGTTATGATGGTGGTAAAATAAAAGGAAATAAAAAGTGAAAGAAGGAAGCAAACAGGGAGGGAAGAAAGGCAAAGGAAGAAAGGGGGAGGGAATGAAGGAAAGAGAGAAGGATGAAACCAAGTAGTGAAAGAAAGAAAGAGGTAGAGAAGGAAGAAAGGAGAGAAAGGGGGAGGAAAAGGGGGAAGGAATAGGTAGGTACCTCTCTTTCATAATAGTCCAGGTATCTACCTCAACTTTGATAAGTTTTACTATAGGCCACAGCAACGCGTGGCAGGGCACAGCTAGTTATCTATATTTATCTTTCTGTTGAATGCTGATCTACTTTAATCCTCCTCTGTTCAATGCAAAGTGAGGCATTTTGTCTGTAGCATTTTTAGAACAATATTGAATATTTGTTTTTTTTCCCCCTCAGTGCTATGCTACAACAGGAGCTGAAACCTCCTGGAAGTCTCTGTAAAAGCACAACAACACTATCTTCTGGGTTTAGCAAGTAGAATATAGCCTCAAGGAAATGCTGTTACTACCTCTTTCTTCACCTCTATCCTTTCAGAAAACACTTTAGTCACAATCTCGAATCTGTTGTGCTTTTTTTTTGTTGGTTTGTTTGTTTTTTGGTTCAGTGGAGAAAAGGAAGAAGTCCGGAAAGCTTAGAACAGCCTCCCTTCCCTGTGCCCGATGTTTTCAGACTAGGACCCCATCCCAACCTGCAAAATATAGGGATTTTAATGTAATTGGAGGACACTCATTTGGAGAGAGGTCTCTTTGGAAGATTGGGCAGAAGAGGGAATTTCAGCCCTGGTTGTGAATAAGGGCACCTGATTATTTAGTTCACCTTTGTCTCCAGAGAGGTCCTGCCCCACACTTTAGATAAGCTCTGTTCTGTGATGAACTTATTGTTGGGTAGGAGTCTTTTTTTCAAGGTTGGCAAAAAAAAGAAAGGGGAAAAAAAACTACTGATGGGAGAATAGGAACAGGAGTGAAGAAGAGAGTAGCAACTATATCTGTGAACCTGGGATTAAAGGAATATTGTCTATATCTAATGAAGCAGGTTAGAGGCTGGAGAGGCTGACCCTCACAATGTGTGTTTCCTAGAACAATTCCCTGGACTACTCTGATTTCTGCTGCTGTTACTCATTTCCATACGTGTAACTTAAATAATTTACACTCCATCCTACTATGAGCATTTTGTGGCTTGCCAACACTTGCTTACTGCCATGTCTTCCAATGTGCTCTTAAAATACTATTTTACAACAATTACTAAAGTATTATTTTATGCCAGTAAGTTATTTTTAGAGTAGATAATAACATTTATTTCAAACTAGGTTGGGCAACTTTAGTGTACCCAGAGTCCAGTGTAGGTCTCTTAGAACCAATCTTGATGGCAAAATGGTAAACACCATGAAAACTAGCAGGAAATTCTGGTTTTAAGGGTTTTCCCCAATTTGCATATAAATTCCAGCAACATCTTTGCAGGCTTGGGGGAGGGATGGGCACATGCGGCCTATAACTCACATGTTTCCCAAGCCTCAATTAAATATCATAAAATGCAAAACCATGCCATACATGAAGCAATACAAAATCAAGCTGAATTCAGAACTAAATTTGTGCATGTTTTTAAAATGATTTGGGAAACTGAAATGTTTCTACCCTGCCACAAAGAGATCACATGGTTGGTCGAGTCATGCCCAGGTGCGTTGCCATAACAGAGAAGGATCTACTCCTGGTGCACTTGGAAGGGCCCCTCAACAAAGGCAGTGTAGTGATGGAAAACCCTTCTTCAGATGGTCCCGTGCTGTCAAAGTCAATATGAACTTGAAGTGTACTTGGAAAAGGATCAGATACTAGTCAGTGTCTCCTGTCTCTGCCCCACTTTTGCCCTGCCAAATTGCTGTGTTGTTTTCCATCAGACTGGGACACGGTTGTGGTTGCATTTTTTCCAAGCAGATCTTATAGCTCTTTTATGAAATTGCTGTGCGACTGTAGGCATATGCAAGAAGCAAATGGTTGGAAAGGTTTTGCAGAATTAATAAGAACTTTGTTTGCAGATTACAGGAATGCAGGCACCACCACATTTATGTGCCAGTTACCTTGCTTGCGGGTTTGAGAGCAAGGAGGGAAGTGGCAAAGAAAGCATCTTGATAAATGGGTTAAATGTACTGGAAATTATAAAATGAGGAAAAATAAGAAATTGGGGAAATTAACAAATTCAAGTTTGGAAACTCAGTGCTTTAGCTTGTATATATAATTTTCTTACAAAATTTGCCAAGCTTTGAGGACCCATTTTAAGCCAGGGGAAAGCTTTCAAGCTACTACAAAAGACTTTTGTGTTACTCCTTCAGCCTTTTCTTTATTTGCTGTTTCCCTCTGCTGGTCATAGTGTGAAATGTATTCATCTCATTCATTTTGAAAATTACATAATAGCCTGTTTGCACAGACATGGCAAAGCTAAGTAAGATTCCTTCTTCCTGTCTTCTTCCACAAAAATGATGTAGGAATGCAGAAAGGCAGAAACATTAAAGCTGTCTTAAACTTTATAGGATGGCAACATTTCACTGCCATGCTTCAGTAATCCCCCACCCCGTTAAACTCCTTTCAACTCTTAAGAAAAAAGTATTTATTCAGTCAGATGGGATTGCAGTTGCATCATTTGGAGTCAAGATTGTTTGAATTGGTGCAATTCATATGATATCTGAGTTTCATTTGAGGCGAACCTGTCAAAAACTTGCAACTAGAGCTTAAAACTTTTGTATTATTTGAACTATACTTCTCCAATTCCCAGGAAACATGTCCACTGGACGCAGCACAGAATTATTGTGATCCTAACACACCCTATCATCCCATGACATGAAAGCACAATCCCCGTTTCCATTTTCAGCTTGAAATTACATAAGATGCTTCTAAAAGTACATCACAGCTTTTGTGTTATGTCTCCAAATACTCTCCTCCATAGTTCTTTTTATTTAACATAAACAAGCATCCTTAAAAGTGTTTTATAAAGTTTTCTGAAAGTTGTGTAACTTTTTGGATGGACTTCATTAAGTAGATAAAAAAGCCATGTTTTGTATTGGTGATATAATGTGCACCAATATGTATATGTCCCATGTGCTCCCTGATAGTGGGGAAAACTTAGAAGTGGGATGGTTTTCATCTTTCACATTTTTTGAGGTTAGGAATGGGGCGAGAGCTGGAACATAAGGGCAAAGGAAGATGAGACGCTTTTGAACTGTGGTGCTGGAGGAAAATTCTGAATATCCAACCAGTCCATACTCCAAGAAATAAAGCCTGACTTCTCACTGGAGGGAAGAATATTAGAGGCAAAGATGAAGTACTTTGGCCACCAAATGAGAAGACAGGAAAGCCTGCAGAAGAGAATGATGCTGGGGAAAATGGAAGGAAAAGGGAAGAGGGGCCGACCAAGGGCAAGATGGAGGGATGGTATCCTTGAAGTGACTGGCTTGACCTTGAAGGAGCTGGGGGTGGCAACAGGTGACAGGGAGCTCTGCATGGACTGGCCCAGGAGGTCACAAAGAGTCAGAAATGACTGAATGAATAAACAGCAGGAATGGGGCAAAGGAGGGTGTCTCCATCACAAAGGTGATTAGCTGGATTCTGTGGATGGGCTCTGCTGACTGGGAGCAACACGGAGAATAGCTAATAACCCAATGTGGTCTCAGGTTGTGTTCACTGTAGTATTTTCTTTTAAATAATTTTAACGAATCAGCAGTCATCTTACAAATTAGCTCACCTTAAAATCTTTCTCTCCTCCTATTGTAAAAGTTAGAAATCAGGTGTTCAAAGCCAGTGTCTTGAACCAACATTGTTAAGAAAAGTGCTTCTGTTCCATAGTTATACAGCCTACATTTTCTCATAAATGGTAGCATGGTGAAATTTCTTTCAGACCCAAACACACTCACTAGTAATGTGAACATTATATCATATGCTATGCACACTTTAGTGTTGTGTTTTGCACCACAACATTGCAACTTTGGATAGGTTGGGGAACCCAAGAATCACATGGGGGAGCACTAATCTCTAATTTGACAGGTATATTAGGTTAATAGGACTATTGCTTATTCAAGGCTAGAGTTGGTATGACCCAACCTCACAGCTTTCATTGTCTTCAGTTGCCACAGCAACATTTAGAATCCTTTGCAACTTGCTTTTGATTATCTGCTTTCTTTGTTAGTGTTTTGCTTGAGCCAGACCTTACTGGTTTTGAAAAATGAAAGATTTATTTGTGTCCTGTAAGTGTTTTCCTTTTGTCTTTCCATTTTACACGTCTGGGCTTCTTACTTGTATTTGTAGATATTGAGAAATGGCAGTACATATGAGAATGAGGGAATGCTAGGCATTTCCTACCTGGGGCCTGTAAGCCCTAGCAGCCACACTGGCTTCCACTCCCCTTGGGATCAATAACCTTGGTCATATGGTGCTATGTCTCTCTTGCCTAAATACAAGAACACTGGGATTGGTAGTTTTTGAGAAAATAATAGATGTCAATCTAACTGCACTAACACATGTAATGTGTCATGGAGAATTGGGTCTGAATGTTGCTTACAGTACTTTTGATAGGCTGCTGTGAAATGCAAGAGATATTGATAAAATAATGATATAGATTCCACAAATACTCTCAAAAAAAGTCTATGCAATTTCATTTTAGGTCCTGGTAGAATGTACCTTTTTTATTCATGATTGGACTCTGGATACAAATTATCTTGGAGAATAATCAGAAAAACAGAATGTGCTTATACAAAA